TTGCAACCGTGAAGCATTCATGGAAGAAAACGGCAACTCAGCACCAGTATATTCAAATGAAAGTAGATTTGGTGCATCAATGTTGGCTTCCTTTAGTTTGTGGCACCTTACCAGAGAGAGTGTCTTCAGCTTGTCACTCAATATTGTAATTCTGTGCAATGTACGGCATTCCAACAGGAACAGTTTTTCAAGTAATGGGAAGTGGGAGATAAGTTCATGAAAGGACTTATCTGCCATATGTGAATGCTTCAAAGTCAAATTCTTAAGATTTCCGCACCCTGCTAAGATTAATTTGCACCTTGAAGATTTCTTCCCATGGAACCAAAATGTCTCAAGATTGGGTGCCTCAAGTTTGACTGACCTGAGGCTGGATCGCTCATGTACCTCAAACTTATTTAGTTTAGGCAGAGATGAAACATGCAAGAATTTCAAACCATAGCAATTGATCAGTCGCATATCCTCGATCAAAGGGCAGGCCTGGACAAAATTATGGACTATATTCTCATTGATACGCATTGCTTTCATGGATAACTCCCGTAGATTTTGGAGCTTTATGGAAGTAGAATCACCCACTTCACATCCGTAGAGCTTCAATGAAGTTATTGTCCTGGAAGCAAATACAAGCTCAGGCAGGGCATAAAATTTGCCATCCATTTTTGCATGAATATCAAGCTCATTAACATTTTTGTCTGTAGCAACACTTATCCAGTGATTCATAAAGGGAGCCAGAAGATGAACAGAAAAGACGACATGCAGCCTGAACTTCTGTATACTTGGCAACTGGTATAGTCTGGTTCCTAACGTATTCTCGACAAACAGAATGAACTTATGTATTAATGGAAGCTCCACAAACCCCAGGGATTCAAACGCCTGTTTGAAAATTGAGCTCTGTTTCTCCACTGGTAGAGGTTGGAGATGATCCCATTTATCTGCAGCGTTTACACATTGGAAGTGTCTCTGATCAAAATCAAAGGACGTGAAAGACTCCCAAATGACTTTCCACTTCTTAGACAAAATGCTAGTTCTTGCTAAATCCGCTGGCCATCGGAGAAGACAAAGGATGTGATGTAAAATGTGTTCAGGCAACTCAGAGATCCTGTCCGCATTAACTGCTCTTTCATCTGTGTTGGTGATCTCCATCATCTTTCCCTTTTTTCTATTCTTTCTCTGTGTCCTGCCTTTTCCTTTCCTTTTCTTCATTAGTGTCCTGTCTTTGGAAAATCTAGAGACCCTTCGTTTGGCAAACAATAAGTGTAAAGTTTTAAGTTTTAGACATCATACTGTTGCCAAAAAATCACGTTTAGATTCAATAAAATTCCATTTTATTTCTTATCACTTGAGCACAATGAGAATACTAAATCTGTAGTTCTAGCGCAAACTAAATCCCCAAAAGAGACCCAAAAGGAAAACAATCCAATCCAAAATCAATAGAAGAAAAAATAAGGAAAGGTGTCAATCAATTTCTAACCTTTATCAGCGGGTTATTAAAACACAAAAACTAAATGATTTTACTAATATTTGTGCCAAAATAAACATGATAGAATGCAAAATAACCTAAACACAACCATCTTAATCAGCTTGAAACCCTAAATTCCAAATTGAATAACAATTTGATCATACTGTTGTGCCAAAATAACGTATACATAAACATCATAGAATGGCAAGTAACAGAGATCATATAATTCAGTTGTTTGGCTATCTAAAGAGTCACCCTATCCACGAGAGTTCGATTATCCACCTTCTAATCCCCTCTCCAATTTCCCCTTCTCCTAACCCTATATATAATTTTAAAAAATTAAAACAGAATCCGAAGAAATCTAAGCATGATCATCTTAATAAACCTGAAACCCTAAATTCCAAATCGAATAACAATTAGAGCGTACATACCAATAATCTCGGAGAAAATCAAAGAAAAATGCGAAATTACCTGTTGTTGCTGCAGATACTTGGAATTTGAGAAGACGAACTGTGTTGAATGAAACCGGTCAAGATATTTATATGTTGTTCGCTGACTTGGGCTTTGAATTCTGCTTAAAAGCCCAAAGACAGTTTCTGGGGCCTGATTAACGCCACCATATGGATTTTGTCTCTATTCTCCGAATGTCACATAGGTACAAATCTAGTATAAAATAGATATCTTATTTTCCCGTAAGTCCAAAAAAAATGTCATATTTTTACTTTAAGTAGTAATTTAATTTTAAACTATATATTTTATTTTTAATAAAATGATTTATAGCCACATAAATATCTATCACTTATTTTAAATCACAAATTTTAAAAATCTTTCTTCATTTTAAAAAATGAATATCAACATAAATAAATGTATACAAATTTGTTAGATGAGTTTATTAGCAGATGTATACATTTACATATATACAAACTCAACTTCAAATCAATTAAAAAGATTATCGAATGTATACCGGTACATTAGGTGAATACGGACCAAGATAAAACAATATAAATGTATATCAATTTATTAGGTGAATACAAATTAATGAATATCAATACGAACATATGTATACAAATTTGCTATGTAAATTTATTAGCAGATATACATATTATATGTATGCAAACTCAATTAAAATTACTATAAAAATAATTACAACCTCAAACTCATTCATAATCAAAATCATTAGCCCAAATTTAATCTCTTTTTGTTCGAGAACTTTTCTTATCCCATCAATCTATAAGTAAAATCACACAAGAAATACACCAAATCATAAGGTTATTTTGCATTTTTAAAGCTTTTCCGTAAAATGTGACAGATAAAATATCATGGGACTTCAATAAATATCCAAATCACAAAATTATTTTGCATTTGCAAAGCCAATAATTTATTTTATTTTTTTTTGTAAAATATGATAGATAAATTTTTTTGAGATTTCAATGAAAACTTGAAAGGAGGTGAAATATGGAGAAGATAAACATGCTACTCGAGAAATTTTTAAAGCAAAATATGAAAGAAATAAATTATTTGAAAATTTTAGAAGAATAAATAAGAGAGAATTTTACAGGGGAGAAAATATTAATTCTAGTTACTCTCTAATTTTTTATTTAAGAAATGTCAAATTATTAGCCCAAAACGCGAAAAATGGTCATTTTATGCTAATTTTAAAAAAACATGACTAATGAATGTTGATTTGAAGTCTTAGTTGATATGTTATGCCAAATTTTCAAGTTAGCTACTAGCTTTTTAATAAGTGTTTTGTACTTGTACATCAAATTATATTATAACTTCCTAACATTATATTGATTAAAATAAATACTTCAATAAGTAGTTATACATAAAAGAAACCAAATCCAAGTAATACGTGAATGCTGAATTTGGATCATTGTTTCATGACTTATTTATTGAGATCAAGATAATTAGATATTAGTCTAAAATTCTCTATTATTTTTTATCAATAGATGGGGCAGATGAACCTTAATAGAGAAACAAATTTATTTAAGTTTGAATTTCAATAAGTAAAAGATCTCATGTAATTGAGTTAATTTGATTATATTATTATGAGTAAATAAGACAAAACAATTAGATATTTAGTTACTCGCAATTATATATTTAAGAAATTTATACAAAGCAAGAAAGAATTCTTAATATATATTTAAGAAAAATATAATGTTGATTTAGAATTGTGGGATTGTAAAAATCTCTTGAGAGAAAATATATGAAAGTAATTAATTATTTTAATAACCATAGTTAGGACTTTGTTTTAATTAACTAAATCTTAACCATTAAATTAAATATATGCCACATGTTATCAATCCAAATAGGAACTCAAGAAAAATGGAGAGAAGAGAAATGGAGAAGTGATCTTGAGATTATGTTCAAACATGCTTTTATTTTGGAAAAAAATTAAAGTAAGTGGAAGTAATTTTTTTTCTAAAAATAAATTTGAGAATATTTGAAAACCAGATTTTGCATTCATTGAAGCAGATATTTATTGACAAATTTTTATTAACCATTAATTTTGATACCATAAAAACTTCTAATATTTAACAAAGGAATATATAGGCCAAAAATGCCAACCTAGCTTATGCTTAGTAATTTAAATATTGTGATTTTAAACTTGTCACGTACAAACGACAATCATTATTCTCTTTTACATATATTTGTTATTCCTATTATTTAGAACGATATATATATAAAAAAAACACGTACACTTAACTAGTATAAATAAGTATGAAAAAAAAGGAAAGCATTAAAGAAGAGATTGAAAAGTTCGATCCTCAACCCTCGGATCTTAAAGATATTTAAATGATAAAAAACCAAAAAAAGAAGGAAACAAAATAAATGGTCATTAGTCATTTTTTTTATTTTCAATGGAAAAACATAAGACAAATCTAATTACGCAAACATCTAGGTTCTTCCAACAACAATCAAAAACATACACCTATTCCTTCTCTCTCGCATAGATAAAAAAGTCTCCTTTGGTTTCCCAACAAAGACAACTTCGATTACTGGAAAAACCCTTTAAAATTTCTCTATTATTTCGACATCTAGAGAAGATGTCATCTGCAAGCTATAAAGCTACTACACCAACAGATTTGGTGTGACAACAAGATTCTGTTTTTCTCCCTTTAGACTCAAAAACTTCTTTTTTGGTCTATGGATTCTTCATAAACAAGATTTGTTCCTTCAATCATGCCCATACACTCATTTATTAAGTACAATTAAAAGATTAGTTCAATTTCAAACTTTCTTGCTCCACCCCCATGATATCTGTTTCACCATTTCCGGCATAGTATTGATTCAGTACCCAAATCTTGGGATTTGAATTTTTTTTTAACTTTTTGTGATCTTGGGACATATCCACTTGCTTTGTTGTGATTTTCTTGATCTGGGGTTGGAATTTTATTACCTAAACTGTTTGGTTGAATCGACTTGTTTGATGTGATTCTTGAAAATCCCTGCTTTTTAAAAGTAGAATGTTGTGAACCACACACCAATGATAAGTATAGCAATTTGGTAAAAGGAAAATCTTGAGTTTTCTTGAAGTGATTTTGTTAGGGGAAGAAAGAGCTTGGTAGAATTAGAAATGAAGTCAAGAGTAGGGAGTCAAGGGTCATTGGAGGAGGGTAAAGATTCTGCTACTAAGGTGGTAACTCAGTATAAGCCTTTATCAATAAGGTTACTTCAGTTTCTGTTGTTATTTTTGGGTATTGGTATTGTATTTTCATTGCTTAGTATGTGTATGGTTCGGTATTCAGTAATGCAGAATGTAATTCCTATGGTACAATCAAGATTTCAGCCCTGTTTTCAACAACTTAGTTTGGAGAGTTGGATTAGGCCACCGTCGAGTCTGTTGCATTCAATGAATGACACACAGTTGTTTTGGCGAGCTTCAATTGTTCCTCAAATCAAAGAATATCCGTTTAATAGAACGCGTAAGATTGCGTTCATGTTCTTGACTAGAGGGCCTATACCTTTGGCGCCGTTGTGGGAGAGGTTTTTCAAGGGGAATGAGAAGCTTTATTCAATCTACATACATTCATTGCCATCATACAAACCTGATTTCCCACCTTCATCAGTATTTCAAGGCAGGCAAGTTCCTAGTCAGGTAAAGTGAACATATTCCTTTCCTTTCTAATTGTACATTATGCTTGAGTTTCTTCATATGCCATTATGTGTTAAAAACAACTTAACTTTGCAATAGTTTCCACCCAAGTTCTACTATTACCTAATGTGTGTGTTACCATTTTGGGATTTTAATATGGGGAACTGTCAAATAGGATTCTCTTTGAATATCTTTTTTTTTTGAGAAAGTTAACTGGTATTATAAACAAAAGGAGTACACCAATAGTGTGCTCCTACATAGTTACATCAAAAGTATGAATGGACAACCCAAAACAAAATCTATCTCCTATATTCCTTATAAACTGTCTAGAAATAGGTTAATTTCCCCTATATCCTTAGGTACAGAATGTATACACCAAAAGTAAAATGTTGCTAAACAGTTCATCTTTATACTTTGGAAGGGAATGCTCTTGTTCTCAAAACATCTCTGGTTTCTCTCCTTCCAGATTGTCCACCAGATGCAAGAAGGGACAATCTTCCATCTCTCCTTGTGTTCTGACTGATTTCCATCTCTATTCCAGCATGCTAGTACTTCTGAAGTATGCCTTGGCATGGCCCATCCAATACCCCTCAGATTGATGAACCATTGCCATAATTTTCCAGTCACTTTACACTGCAGAAAAAGATGATTTACTGTCTCTATTTCAGCTTCACAAAAAAAACATCTAGAGCATAACTGCCTGCCCCCTTTTCATAAGGTTGTCCTGGGTCAGAACTGCTTGACTTGCAACTAGCCAAGTAAAACAGGCCACTTTATGAGGTATCTTCCCTTTCCAGATCATCTTCCATGGCCACCATTCCTTGGTTTCTGTTGAGATATTCAGCATCTTGTAGGCTGCTTTCACCCTGAACTTGCCACCTTTGTCCAAACTCCATAATAGTTTGTCTTCCTCAAAATTGAGACTCTTAGCTTGTTCCAAGGTATTGTAGAACTGAATCATTATCTCCACTTCCCAATCATTGAGGAGTCTTCTGAAGGATAGATTCCAGCCTTGTGCATTTTTGACCTCTGAGATAGTAGCTAGCTTCTGTTGATTGAGATTGTAAATGTCTGGAAACTGTTGCCTCAGAGGTGTTTGCCCCACCCATATATCATTCCAGAACATGGTCTTTCTGCCATTACCCACTTTGATCACAGAATTACCCCACATTTTTGGCCACTGATTTCTGATAGTCCTCCATAGTCCCCTTTCATAAGGAGTTTTAACTGCCTGAGTAGTCCATGGTCCTTCCCTACCATATCTTGCAATGATGATTTTCTTCCATAGGCCCTGCTCATCTGCTGCCAGTCTCCATAGCCATTTTAACAGAAGACTCTTGTTTTGTGCTTTCAGATTCTTAATTCCTAACCTCCCTCTTTGAATATCTCATCAGATATAAATGCTTACCCCTTATACTTCCTATCAGGTAAGCCTCAGTCGTGGTCTACGGTAATAATTCTGTGTTTTATGCCTTTTTGGACAAGGTTGTTGAAGCAGATATTACATAGATTCTAGCTGTTTAAAGCTTATCTTAGTCTTTATTGCCCTGGGACTCTGTAAAGATGAATTGTTTGTATTATTTTCTCATCTAGCTTCTTTTAAGATCTCCGGATTCAAGCTCCACAAACTATCTAGGATTTAACCAGAATAGTGGATGATACATTTTGTTCAAAAGGAGACTAGACATATCTGGACACAGTTATAGATATACAAAGTTGGTAATTTTTTCTTCTTCTTCTTCTTCGATGTTTATGGTTATGGGATTCCCTTAAGTTGTACAAAGTTAGGACATAAGGAAACTAAGTTCTTTGTTGTAGCTAATCATCATCCGGCTTAGGTATGCTTAGGTGATATATTACTTCCATGGTGTTGTACTTGAGGTAATCCCAAGGTCATTGAAAGTTGCTTGCTTTGGCAGCAAGGCTTTAATAAAGGCTGAATTGATGAAAGTGGGATAAGAGAGTTCAGTTGCATTGTTTTCTTGTTATAACAGTTGGTCACAGTTGTGTTCGTCTAGATGGTTTCTGAATGTTTGTGACAGCTAATCACTGATGTAAACCTTTTATACCCTTCATCTCAATAAGACCACTTTTAAGTTTTTAGCTGGACTAGTGAATGCAGTAATACCAGGGACCCCAATAATGTTCCCCATATTAGGAAGTTTGTACCATGATCTTTGTTGAGTCTTTCAGAGCAACCATGTTGGCTCTGTACAGCTGAGATGGATTTCTCTTGCATCATTGAGCAGAACTGGATAAGCTGTCCTGGGTAGTGCAGTAGGCCCAGAAGATGTTAGGATACAGTAACCTCCTCCTAATAGCTTTCAACTGTCTATTTCTAGAAAGCCTTCTATTGTTTTTCTCCGATATAAGGAATATTGTCATGCATATTTCATAATGGATGATTCATATTTGTTAGATTAGTAGGTTTACATGAGCCTACTTCGGTGACTGAAGGACAAGCTCACTGGTCAAATCCTTTTCGCAAATATGTTCGTTTTCCATTTAGCTGCAATTAAGCAGTCTGTGAAAGCCTAAATTTGGTAGTACATGAGAAGTAGGAATATAGAGGCCAATCTTGAAATAACAGATCGATCTCACCATTCTGTTGCTTCTTTTTGTGTAGGAGGCGAAGTGGGGAAGAATGAGCATGTGTGATGCTGAAAGACGGCTTCTTGCTAATGCACTGCTTGATATCTCCAACGAATGGTTTATCCTCCTATCTGAGGCATGCATTCCTCTCCATAACTTCAAAGCTATCTATCACTACATATCAAAATCGAGGTACAGCTTTATGGGTGCAGTCGACGAACCTGGACCTTTTGGAAGAGGGCGTTACAATCCAAATATGGCACCTGAGGTTAACATCACTGATTGGCGTAAAGGATCCCAGTGGTTTGAAGTTAACAGGAAACTGGCTGTTGACATTGTTAAAGATGAAGTATACCACCCTAAGTTTGAGCAGTTCTGCAGACCGGCATGTTATGTAGATGAGCACTATTTTCCAACTATGCTAACCATAGAATCTCCTCGCCTCCTGGCTAACCGGACTCTCACTTGGGTGGACTGGTCCAGAGGTGGTGCTCATCCTGCTACATTTGGGAAGGCCGATATTAATGATCAATTTTTCAAGAGAATTTCTGAAAGCCCAACATGTGTATACAATAACCAGCCAACTTCACTTTGTTACCTTTTTGCCAGAAAATTTGCTCCTAGTGCGTTGGGTCCTTTATTAGAACATTCTACTAAGTTTTTGGGCTTCTGAAATTCAAAAACATTTGTTATAAAATATGAGCAGGAATCCATATAGGAAATTTCCTAGCTAATTAGATCTGGTGATCAAGCAAGTGTCATGCTTGCTATTAGATAATTCAAATATATAGAATGCGATGCATGATCTGATATGCTCAGTGTACTCTCTTCTATTATCATATTGTATTGTTGCTGTTGATTTTTAGACTTGGAGTAACCATGATCAGTGAGGGTTCATACAACCGATCCAAACTTGTTTGGAACTAAGACATAGTTGTTGGTTTTTTTTTTTTGTCCAACATAAGCTGGCTCATAGGTTTGAAACTCGGGGGAAGTATGAGCCTGTTCTCTATCCTGCTTTCCCTTAAATACCACGTTAGTGCAGGTGGTGCGGAGTGAGAACTCGTCTTGTGTATTCAGTCCACACATCTGGCACTGCGTTTTTAACACTGAACCGGAGCCCCAGTAACTTGGATGTTTTCCCAGCTCTCACATTTACTGTGCTTGGTAGCACTTTGTGAACAAGATCAGGAAAACAAATTGCTATAAAATGTACAACGTTGTAATTGTTGTTGAAGTAAATATTGTTGCATAAACATTGACCTTGTTCCAGATATACAGTTCAAGCTAGATTGGCCGGTTCCAGCATTACATAAAAATGAACAAGGATCTATTTTGGTGCACATGAATACAAAAGAGTGGCACCTTACAATTCATCGTGACCATTTATACTTGATGAAGGAACTTGTGGTTGTGCTTCGAGAAGATATCTAATGGCCAAAGATGCTTGAAGTGCAGCACCAAAAGGAAGTGCTGCTTCGTTTATTTTGAAGTAAGGTGAATGGACTGATGCAGGGTTTTCATTTGTTTCACCCTGCATTCCTAGCATGTAGAAGTAGCCTGGGATAACCTCTTGGTAAAACGCAAAATCCTCTGATCCCATTAGTGGTTCCATGTCTTTTACATGATCGTTACCAAGCATATCACCTGCAACTCTCTGGAAGTGTTTGTGCAAGTTTATATCATTCACAGTTGGAGGGAAGAAGGGTTTGTTGTTTGTAAGAAAATCCACAGTTGCATTGCACCTCTGTACAGCAGCTTGCCCAACAATAACCTACGCGAGAGGAGAATTAGTGTCTCTACAATGGAGAAAGCATGGATAAACAGAATGAGACTGTTGAACCCGAATAAATCCAGAAACAGAAACAACTTGCAGAATATTTTGACACATCTGGAAAAAAATAATGTAAAGAATTTAGAGACACCAATGCTTAAGATGGGCTTTGCAGTAGGATGAGTGTGCAATTTCATTCCATATGCAGCATATAAAATGAGATAACTAAAACCCTGATTAAAATAAAGTGGAAAGCAAAAAAATGGAACATTCATGACTTTCAAGGCAACAGCTTGAGATGCTGACTAATTTAAGAATTGATCCTACCTCTTCAATTCGTTGCCTAAGCTGCAGAAAGCTCTCCTTTGAAAAAGCCCGAAAAGTGCCACCGATGGTAACAGAGTCTGGAATAACATTAAATGCACCGCCTCCTTGGAATTTAGCAACTGTCACTACCTGCAGATCATACTTTATGTCAAGTAAAACTACATGACAAAGTTGGAAAATAAGAACCATCTGTTGAGGAATGCCAATCTTTATCTTAAGGATTACGTTTGTAAATGCATCATAAATACAGGATGCCCATGTCACTTTAGCTGCACAATGAGCTTTGTCTACCAATTAGGCTCTGGTCAAATATCATAAACCCAGAAAGTGCACCAGTCATTGCACAAGCACAGTGAGAGAGAGTTCAAAAGTTCTTAAATAATCTTCCCATAGTATCATCTCATCAGATATGACTTTTGGTTTCAAAACAGAAGTCAGAACAGGGAGGAGAAACTACACTTATTACTGATAATTTCATAAGTCGAGTTCTGTTAAGGAAAGAAAAGATTTTGACCTCCAAATTCCAAACAACCTTAAACAGATTCCTCTATCTTTGAATATATTTCCACTTCCATAAAAAAGATAATAACTTATTTTGGCTATGGCTGCAGGCAGCAGCACGCCTCCTGATATTTCTACTATTCATCCAAAAGAAACATGAATCAGAACACAGAGAAGAAACTCACCTACTTTAGATAATTTCCAAACTTAAGCTTTGTTAAAGGAAAGCAGAGACTTTGAACCCGTAATCTCTATTAAACTGGTTCTGCTATTGTTGAGTACTAAATTAGTTCGGCCCAAGCACTAAAGATATTATTTAGGAAATTTCATTTAAGCACTTAAAGAAAGTTCTCCACTTTATAAAGGACATCACCAGAATAGATGCATATGGTGATTCAAAGCAAGGGAGCCAAGGAGATGCCTGTACTAGCTGATCAAGTAACTTCTGATGGGTTGCTTCCAATTTATATAATTGGATCTCATAGACGCTCAGCACAGGAAATTTGAAGTTAATTTAACTTTTGATTGACAAAAATAATCACCAGACACAGGGACATTCATGTTGTGATGTTGTCCAAGAAATTCTGTATGGGTGAATATTCAGTGTCGGCAAACAAAGAGGTTTTACTACCTCTTTTGGAGACCATAGGGTCATTGGAAATGTTTTAAGATTTATATCATATTTTACAGGCACAGAGCAAGGATGAAGTCACTTCTCTTGTTCACTCAAGCACATAGTAGTTGAATCTTGTTTGCAATTCATAGTTCTTTTGCTAGATATACAATAATCAATCAAGCAATGAAATCATGACAATTTCTCTGAATTTTTCATGGGTGGTTCAGACGCTGCAATGAGTTAATAGTGACTAGTGGCTACAACATGTAAGAGCCAGTACAGCATAGGTGTTTGATAACAAAAAACAATTAGAATTTTCTGGTTGTCAGTGAGGCTTATCCCATGGGTAGAAATATACCTGAGAATCCAGAGGATCAGCCTCTCGTGAAACAAGATGCTGTAAGCTGACAATTACATTTGATGCTGCCAGAATTGGATCTATCGAATGCTGTGGAATAGCGGCATGACCCCCTCTTCCACTAATTACAGCTTCAAAAAAACCACTTCCCGCCAAAAAGGGTCCAGGTCTTGAACAAACTTTACCCAAAGGAAAGTTGGGATGGACATGCAGACCAAATATTGCTTCTACATTTTCCAGTGCTCCAGCATCTATCATTTTCTTGGCCCCACCACCTCCCTCCTCTGCTGGTTGAAAAACAAGAGCAACTGTTCCCTGTCAAAATTAGCCGAGAAAATATCAGCTGCCAAAAGTGTATTATACATGACAAGAAAATTGATGTCATGTATGCACTGAGGAGTGAGCTATGGATTCATTAAGGAAAAATTCTGGATATGGTATTTTCTCAAAAGGTAATCAGATTTAAGAGCACGGCTGACATTTTCAGAAACTGAAGTGTACTAAAAAGCTTAGAAGATTCTCTAAGATATTTCCTTTGCTGGTCAATAGAGCTTCTTGCATCCTTTCAGACAATTCGCAAAGCAAATCAAGGTTTAAGATTATATCAGAGGCTATCTTGATTATCCACCAGCCAGAATTACAATTCCAAGTTGTTGTCATAAGTAGAGAAGGTACACATGATTCTGCTTACTCCTATTCTATTGTAAAGATAGGTTTTTTTATTTTTCAACGTAGAAGCATCCTTTCACACCATATAACTTACTCTTCTGTTACCTAAAGATCTGATTCCCTGCCCCCAACCCCTTTTTTACAAGCCTCAGAAAATTAGAAATGAATGCAAAATAAGACCTATCATTCTCCAATCAATTACATTGGCATAAAACTCATCGAATGAACCAGAAATCCAGCATACATGCCAAACAATTAAAGTTCATTCACTCAAATGGATAAAATGCATAACGAGAAACAAGCAAAAGTCAAATCTCGAGCGGACAAAACGAAATTGTGATACTACTAATACAAGAATCAAACCTTCAAAATGTTCTGATGTTCTAGAAGAATCTTTGCAGCACCAAGAAGCATTGCAACATGAGCATCATGTCCACATGCGTGCATTTTACCAGGATTCCTACTTTTGTGTTCCCAGTCAACCATTTCCTGTTAAAATTAAGATGAAAAACTAATTGCTTTAGCTAAAATACAAAAAAAATCTCTCCTCTGTTTGGTGATCTCTAACCAATACATCAGTACAAAAAAAACCTAAATTTTATAACAGAATCAATAATCCACTAGCACTTAAGAGTAGGGGAGTAGAAAACATTGGGTTTCAAACCTGCATAGGAAGAGCGTCCATATCCGCTCTAATCGCAACAAAAGGGGGTTTTCCTGAACCAATGAAGCCAACAATACCAGTATTCGCAAAAGGGTATTTATACTGAATCCCCAAATTATCCAATTCTTCTCTAATAAGCTTACTAGTCTCTAATTCTTCATAACCCAGCTCAGGATTCTCATGTATCCTTCTCCTAACCCCCATCATCCAATCAAAAACCTCAGATTTCTTCGCAAAATCAAGAAATTTACCCGGTATTTCTGGTAGTTCCCCCGAACTCAATTGAGAATCTGAGAAGATGGGTATTGGGGTAAAAGAAACAAAAATCAAAATCAAAATCAAGAAAACCCATCTGGAGATATCCATATGAGAAAAAAAAAAGTTGGAAGAAACCCACAGATGGAAGAGAAGAGTGAATGAAAAAATAATGGAGTAGGCGAAGAAAGGAACAAATTCAACAGTCGACTCTGTACATTATTGGATTAGGTGAGAACGATGAAAATATGGGGAAAATGGATTTGAGGGTCCAATTGAAATGGGAGGCGTATTGAATTAAAATATTGTTCCTTTGGCAGGAAGAGCTAAGAGATGAGCACTATAAAGATGCCTTCAGTGACGGCTCCAGTAGTTTTCAGGCTACAGTTGATCTCACGTGCTTAATCGAAATCTCTCACGTGGTTAGTTTACCAGCCGCTTTTTCCGTCTTTTTTTTTTTCTAAAATAAAAAATAGTTTCAGAATTTGTTTGTTTGTGCTTTTTTTCGATTGCCTTTGATCTCCATAGATTTATTTCCCTACCATTTAATTAAAAAGTTGAATTAGATAATTTCAAAAAGGATAATGCTAAATGGCCAGAAAATTTGATTAGAATTTGATCAGAAATTTTAAAAGTCTATAATGTTATTTTTATTTTAAAATAAATTGATTTTTTTTCTATTTTTTAATTAAAAAGTATTAAAGTT